AGTTTTTCAAACATTTAAAAAACTGCTGGAAAGCAGATTCAGAATCAACAGAAAACCGAGAAATTTGCTGTTGTAATTGAAAATTGTAGTTGTCTCCGCTAGAAATTATTGATGAAAAAGTTTATTTATATCGTAACTTTTATCCCCTAGAACTAATATATGCTTGATATTTTATTTGGCATCTTAAATATAGTTTGGTTACTCTTTGATTCTCTCTCCGCTCTTTTTAATTTAATAAATAATCGAGCGATATTTCTTTATTTTGAAATTTGCCATTCTGATATTTGATCTTTAATTTTGTTTGGTTGCTTTATGCTCACTTTATTATTGCATACATTCCTAAAAGCTTATTACTTGTACTAACACTTGAATCACAACTTTTCATACTTACGTTGTGGAATAAGATTTCCAAAGGTAGGTGTACCTTACATTTTAAGTTGCAAAATGTATTTTGTTTTCTAAATTTTCATTTCAGTGCATCGTATTAATAATATAGTCATTTGAATATTTAAGTAGAATTTTATTTGTATTCTTTACCAAAAATATTTCATCGAAAACAGCTTGATTAATTTGGATCTGCCAAAGTGTTATCAAATTTATAATTTTCTCTGGAATGATTGTTTGGTTATAACAAGTATTTTTGCTATATATGCATGGATTACTGTTTTTATAAAACTATTTTGTATCTTAATCTTTCCCGAAACTAAAGTTTTTATATTACATGCAAGGCAAGGGCGTCTCAGGAACCCATCACTTCTGCCGGCAAGTCAATCATTGATGGATCCTGCAACATGATTCAGGCCGCAAAATCTTTGGCCGTCAATCCCAAGGATCCTCCCGCTTGGCAAACTCTTGCAAATCATAGCAGAAGCGTGTCCGATGCCATCAAGACGTTGGTGTCTTCCTATATACAGAATTTATTATTAATTCTATATTATTGGATTTTTAAAATATTAAATTTTAATAATAGAGTTTAGGTGACGGAATGACTGGAATTGCCAATCATGCCAAGCAAGGAGCCCGTGAAAAATTTGGCGAAGCGGTGAAAGACGTTTCGGATGCCATTTGTGGTTTGATCGAATCTGCCGCACAGGTAATTCTTCATTGCACGGAAACAATAGTAAAACTTAATTACTTTTAAATTTATCGAAATAAATTAATTAAATTTCAGGCCGCTTATCTGGTCGGAGTTTCCGATCCGTCCAGCGTGACCGGCAGACCCGGTCTGGTCGATCCCGTTCATTTTGCCAGAGCCAGCCAGGCCATTCAGATGGCTTGTCAGCAACTAATTAATCCGACGAGCAATCAACAGCAGGTTTGTATTTTTAAAATAACTTATAAAAATAAATACCGTGATGTTTATATAAATTACATTCTTAATAAAAATCTTTATAGATTCTTTCTGCTGCCACCGTGATCGCTAAACATACTTCGTCTTTATGTAATTCCTGTCGGTTGGCATCCTCCAAAACTACTAATCCTGTTGCCAAACGTCAGTTCGTTCAGTCTGCTAAGGACGTTGCTAATGCAACTGCAAACCTTGTTAAAGAGATCAAAGTAAGTTTCAGTTAAGTTATTTC